CTTGAAAGCAAAGAACGGCTATAAAATGGACCGATTCTCGAATGGTAAAGAAAAAAATTGACAAAGACAAAAGAGAAAATTAAATAAAGCATTGAGCGAAAAAGATTTCATATATATTCATCGGCTCTACCGGCCGGTAAGTACAAAAAGTTCAAATCTAAATAAAGAGTTACAAAGGGAAACTAGTCTATTCATCACTATCCTACCCTCCGATGAGGAGGACTCCAGTTCTTTCCTAGCTTCCCGAGCGGCACTACGCCTCCTCTCCCATTCATACTGTTTGAATTGGGCTTTAACGATGTCAACTTATGGGAGGTCGGAGGTCTGAACTGGTCTCCCAAGTTACTTTTCCATCTGGGCCACAAAACTACAAAAGGGCGAAGGATGTGCTGACAACCCTTAACATACAGATCTTCAGCCAGGGAGTCATTCCATTGTTTACCCTCGGGATCCTGATCAAGGACTTTCACACCAGCCGTAAGCCGCTCGATACATTCAGGAAACTTCTTCAGATAAGCCCCAAAGGTAGAAGGAAGTTGCTCACGGGCATACTCTTCTTTAATGGCAGAGAATTCCGCAGAACCTTTGAATGCCTCCCGAACGGCAAACAAATCAACGATCACCTCAGCAGGTCCGTCTGGGATACAGGGACCTGTTTCTTCAAACTTCACCAAAGCAGCTTCAGCAACATAGACTTTGGCTTGAAAGGCTCCGAGCTAGACCCTAAGCTCACCAAGCTCGGTCTCGAGCCGATGTTTTTCTTCTACAAAGGCTCGGTCTCAGCAGCAATATTAGCAGCAACAGCTTGCTCTGCAGAAGTTTGAGTGATGATCAAATCCCGCTCCTTGGCCAGCCGAGCCTCCCTCAGTTGCAGACTGTACAGACTCACCTACAAAATTCCATTCGAAAAGTGAGATGATATAGAACGAATGATAACATATGAAACAGATTATGAAGGTTAACAAAGTACCTTCAAGGCCGCTAAGGCCAAACATTCCTCTGACTGCTCGACCGTCAGTTTAGGAACAACAAAGTTGTTGAAGAAGGCAGAGGTAGACCAGATTTGGCTCGCAGAACAACCAGCTTTCTCTAAGACTTCATGAACGGGATCTTCCAGAGAGATCCGTTCGACCTGCCCAAAAAGGTGGACGGTATGAGTCTCACCCGCATCCATGTTGGCATCCTGAGCAACCTGAAAGTGCTCGGAGAAATGATGCAGCTGATCGAATCCGAACCGATCGTCCATCTCTTCAAACTGGTCCTGATGAGGGACCTGCTGAATAGGCTCAGGCTTCTGAACAGGCTGAGAAGACCCGACATCTTGGTGAGTGGCAGTGGAAGGATTGGCCTTGGGGTTCTTTTTTGCCTTCTTCCTCTTACCCACTCCCCCGGGAATGAGAACCCGACTATCATCCATGGTAGCGTCTGGATTGGGAGCTGAAAAAAATAACAAAGGGAGAAGTTAGTACCGAGTGGTCTCATCACATGGGAAACTGAAAAAGGCACGTTTCTCACACGGGAAGGACCGCCCGACCCATGGCACTTGATTTTCAGTCAAGTAAACCCAAGAATACGGGCAGTACCTATCCCGGCTTTAACGAGCTGATCAGGAGTCAGGTACGTTATGATGTTGCAGGTTTTGGCCTTCTCCACAGCAAAAACATCCTTACAGATCGTCTGAGTAAGAATCGGATCCGGTGACTTACGAGGGAAGGCGTTCCATTTATTTGGGATCAGACCGTCCGGGACGGAAACAAAAAAAACCACTCTTTCCACCCCTTAATAGAGGTAAGTTTGCCCTTACAAAAGTATATATCCCGTTCGAGCAGTTTATGGCTAAATACCCATGAGTCTGCTGGGGGGCTACTTTAAAGAATTGATGGAATAAATCTAAAGTAGGCGTAACCTTAACATCTACGCAACGACAAATAAAGCCAACCATCACCCGATAGGAGTTCGGCATGACTTGGGCTGGTACGATTTCATAGAATTTTAAAAAAGAAAAAAAAGGGGTGCAACGGAAATCTAAGCCCGACTTTAACCGAGTCTAAGTGAACTACAACCATCCCAGGAAAATGGCACATTGGGTGAAGCCCGGCCCGCAAACGGAAGTCCATTGGGTCTGGAATTAGGGCCGGAATTTGGACCCTATTGTGAGAGGTTAGCTTTTGCCGCCTTTCCCTAATCAGTCTTAGGTCAAATTTGTAACGAGGAACATCGCCCAGGGGTCCAGCCGCCATGGAAGCACGTTCATCACCAGACTTCGTATCGTCAGAATCATCGTCAGAAGAAGAGCCGACGGAAGCCTCCGCCCTATTATCCTCCGCCATCTCATTTGTGCCTTTAGCAAAAGGGACAGGTATGACGTCCACTACGGCGGCGCCATGATTTTCCCATTGGGAAGCCATTCCTGAACCAGAGGAGTAGGATCGAGGACACATATCGATCGAAGCAAAGGAGTGGATGAAAATTAAGGGACGGGGAATACCTGAACACAAAAAAGCTTGAAGAACCTGGAGAGAAGGCAGAACAAGGGCTCGAAGGAAATGAAAATTCGAAACCCATATCCAAGGAATTCAAGGCCTATTTATAGCCTGGTAGGCGCCGAATCAGTAGCCAACCAGAATAAGACACGTCACCGCGACTATTTAAAAAGACGCATGTCGCGTGGGAAAGCAAAGGGCAGTAATCATGACAGGTATGGAAGAAATCAAACGACAGCCGCAAATAAGGCACTAATCACTACCGTTCGAGACATCGTAAGTGGGGGGCTCGTGTTGGGATATTGGGCCGAAGGCCCAATACCCGGATCAAAGGCCCAACATAACCAGTCCAATAAATGGTCCGGAATCCAGAAGATGAACAGGCCATGGGAAATTTATACCGAACGGGGTTCAGATCGACCAATATACTTAGGCCAGATCAATGATGACTCCAATAGGGTCCATTACCCGTTCGGACAACGGGTAGCCAACAAGTGGCAGGGAACATTTATTGCTAGAGTACGGCGTCAGCAAGTGGGAGTATGGGCTTTCAAGTGGCTAGATTAGCAACCAATCAGCAGGGAGCACCCCATACCCCCCATTAGTATAAATAGAGGGATTAATCTCATTGTAAAGGGTTAGCATTTTGATACTCAAAGCCTAGAATAGATTTATCTCTTTTTTTCTTGTATTAATCACTATTCCGAAGTACCGTTCGGGAAGTTCTTGTGTAATTTAGCAAATTACTTAATACAAGTGGGTTTTGAGCTTATTATTATTCAGATTTTATATTTTCTTACACACAAATCATTATCCACGTCCTAAATATCCAAAGCGTGTGTTGGGCTTTCGGATCTACGGGATTTAACTTCAACATTGGCGCCGCCTGTGGGAAATGAACCCACGATATCCCATTTTTTCTGGATTTGATTTTTTTTATTAATTTGTTAAGTTTGATTATTTTCAAAGATGGCACTTTTATAATATGAGAATGTAAAAAATTTTGGCTATTTGCGCCACATTTGTGGCAGTATATTTATCAGGATGACAATCTGAAAATGTCATGTCCATAAAAAATGTAATTCTTATGGCATTTTATGGTTTTTTATGGCTTATCTGAGAATGACATATGTGTAAATGTCAGTTTTATACGAAACTTCCATCATCATGTCATTATTCTTGACAGTCTCATTGGAGGTCTGCAAGTTCAAAACTTGAGATTTTGATATTTTCAGATTTCAAATTAATAAATAAAATTCAAATCCAAGAAGAAGAAAAAAGAAGAAGAAGAAGAAGAAGAAGAAGAAGAAAAAGGAGATGAAGAAGAAGAAAATGAATAAGGGAAGAACATTACGGACCTGCAGCGCATCGCAACAGAGTAGCCAGAGGTCTACGGATAATGCGCTAAATTCATTAAGGGTAATATTGTACAATCGTGAATTAATAGTCTTACTTAGGGAAAAATAAACTACAAGTCCTATTTGTGCAGTTTTACCATGTTTTAGTCTCATTTGGGGAATTCTCTCATATTACAAATTAAAACATGATTATCCTATTAAGTTGTGGTAAAGGTAGAATAGGAAGATGGAATGTATTTTAGTCCTATTTGGGGAATAAAAATAACATAGTCCTATTGTGCATTTAGGGATTGATTTAGTCATATTTAGGGCTATTACCTATATTATTTCATATGTATGCCAAAATTGACCAAATTTCATGAGATTAATAAAATACTTTGTACTACGCATCAGTTAGGCATAAGGTTAGAAACAAAAGTAAAGTACGTCACCGTGTTTTGTAGGAACGTAACATACGGAGTACTACTTGACCAAGTACCGCCCTACTAGAAATAGAAACTCAAAATCATGTCCTAAAAATAACTTTTGAGGACAGAAACAAGGGCAAAACACTTTTGAAGTTTTTACTATGGGTGATTTTCTAAAAAAGAGATGGGAAAATCTAACGGCTAAGAGCATCTCCAATGCTACAATGTGCACGGTGTACATGTGACATTAGAGATACACAAAATATTAATTTTATGACATTTCTGTCTCCTTCTTTCCACGGTCTTATGTATTTTTGGTAAGTTTTGTCTGCAATGTCAACCGCAATGTCTACATCTAGACATTGTGTTTGACATTGTGAAGAAAACCTTACCAAAATTATGTAAGATCCTCAAATAAGGAGAGAGATATTCTACCGATTATTTTTTAATTGATTATTTCTCATTTCACGTATGCAACGTTAACGTTTTAACATTCAAGATGCTCTAATTAATGTAAAAGTAATTAAAGCCATTCGAAATCCCTTAATCCAAATGACACTTTTTAATTTATTTTAAATAAAAGGGTATTCATAGTAATAGAACCCCTGTAACTCTATAAGCTATAGCCCTAGTTAGTACACGTTACCTTAATTAATTAGCTGCTTCAAACTCAACATGCAATTGCAACCCAACTACTCTAAAACTTGACCCCAAAAGAAAAGACAGCAAATACGGAGTATATACTATACACCGATTCATGAGAGCTTAAATTGTTTATATAAATAGAATCTCTTCTACTGGATCCTAGCCAAGAAAGGAAAATGGAAAGTGATGAAGCAAGGCTACCGGCCAGCTATGGCGGATTACAAGTCTCCTTCTCCACACCTCATCACCCCATCCACCACCATCATCATCATCATCATCATGACATGGGGTTTGTGCACTTTGAAGATGACCATAATACCCAGCAGGCAGTGATGATGATGAGCTTCTTGACCCCTTCGGCGGCGGCGTCCTCTTGTCATCAGCCCCTAAGCTGCGGCGACACTACCTCCGCTGCCCCTAAGCACGGCGGCGGATGCAACGACGACGACCCTCTTTTAGGGTTTAGCTGCCCTGCCCAGCCGCCTCACCTTGTTGCTAATAATGATAACACTAATACTAGACCTTCATGGAATAACGACGACCAGGTATGTAGGTACATATTTGTGCACTTAATTTAATTAATTTCAACCAATTCAAATGGTAATTAATGATAAATAATTAAACCGGTGATGATAGGTTGGAAGGCTGGATCCGATGTGTGGAACTGGAAATGATGCGAACTGCAGTGGAAATGCAGCCGACGGCAACAATTCATCATGGTATATCCATCAAATATATATGCCCATTATTGTCCCCTTTCATTTTCTTGAAAGAAATGATTATATTTTTTAAAATACTCATAATACAAATAAGATAAAATTGCTGATTTGCTAGCAATATGACTGATTACTTCTTTTTTATCAAATTAATAGTGTATTGCATGTAAAATATTTAGTTTGATGTTATGCCTTTTCTCCTTCTAATTTAAAGGCGTATGAGCATATTTAGCGTAAATATGGTCCTGAATTCAAAATTCATTTCACTAGGTAAACATCCCGTGATATTTTGAAAAGGATGCACGAATACTAGTGTTAGAGCTCGATAAGCTAGCTCTTTTTAATGAGATAGAAAACACTTGAAACGAAATGGAATACAACGTGATATGATCAGATCAAATACTACACAAGTTCTGAGTGAAATCGGAAATGTTTATGAATTTGAGGGTAATATTTATTAGTTTTTTAATGGTTAAATTTGTTAGTTAATCATACGGAGTATATAATAAATTACCTAAGAAATTTGTGAGTGCTTTACTTAATCATATATAGATTTTTTTTTTCTTCTACTCCGGGGGTTGGGGGCTTGGAGTAAAGAGGGCTGAAACTCACTCCATTGAATTTCACACTCTTTATGTGCCTAGCGGGTTTCGAACTCGAAACCTCTCACTAGGCACGGTAACTTCGCAACTAGCTGGGTTGGAATGTTTGGTTAATCATTATATATATAGATGAATTCCCTAAGAATAAATTAAACATATACACATATACTCCGTATTATCTTTTTTTTTGAACAAATACTCCGTATTATCTATATAGTTGAAGATGACGTGCGTGATTAATTTGTAGTTGGTTGAAATGGCCTGCGGGCTTTTTGTTTCGATGTATCTTTCACTCTAGCTAGCTTTTTTGGGATATAGTTGATTCCAACTTTAATTTTGAGCACTCTCCTTTTTGGTGGTTTAAAGATCGAAGAAGCTTCGCTTTCCATATTTTCTTGAATCATCATCATTGGAGGTATTTATGGTACATCTAAGCTAGATCGAAGATGTATTGCTAGTATATATCTAAACAACATTTCTATATATATGTATCAATGTATGTATAGATATAGGGGTTTGGAAAATATCCCTTTATTGACTTTTCTTAGTTAATTATGACAAACATTGGACAATGATTTCAATTGTTATATTTGTATATAATTTTAAAAAATTATACTTTTCTGAAAATATTTTAAATAAAGAACCTTTTGGTATAATTTTCATATTCTAAATAATTTCATACTAAATAAAAGTATATTATTGTTATGTTGCAATCATATCAACATATTTTGTGATTACTAGATATTAAAATGAAAATAATGATTCATACGGAGTATTTGACTTTATTTTTCAATTCTAAAAATAATTATTGTTACTTAGGACGAGGTTAGGGTTAGTAGTAGTGGAGGCTGAGAAGGACAAGCTAAGAAGGTGCTAATTAAGAAAGTGGCCGATCCACTATAACAAGTATACTCGTCCGTACATGCAATAATACTCGTATATGCTTATATCACTTCGGATAAATCATTTCACAATAAATATATACAAAAAGAACAAAAATATTATTAGGTCGAGTTATTTAGGGTACAGAACCGGGCGCAGATCTTATAACACCAACTCTGGTCTATTATACTCCGTACGAAAGAAAAAAAATACACGTATTAAATTACAGTAATATTGTTGGGCCTGTGGGGCGGGCATGACCCGGACAGGTGGAGAAGCGGGTCGGGTTCGATAGTGGACAAGGGGAAGGTGATGAAGTTGAGGAGAAAGTTGAGAGAGCCCAGATTCTGCTTCCAAACAAGGAGTGATATTGATGTTCTAGATGATGGTTACAAATGGAGAAAATATGGCCAGAAAGTTGTCAAGAACAGCCTTCATCCCAGGTATATAAAGTATATATCTTTTCTATTCTACTAGCTAGATAGCTCCTTAATTACCCATATATATATCCATCCACACATGCATAAACTACATTCTATCTAGCTCTCATCTTCTTCATCCCCTTAATTACTCCAAAATGATAGATGAATCAATATTAATTATGATTAAAAATTAATTAGATCCAGCAGCAACCTAACCTAGATAATGATGAAGAATATTAAAAATGAGTTGGATGATACAAGTACGTACAGGGAATAATGCAGATTGGTTATGATTACTGACAGTAGTTGGATGGGATTGGGAATGTGAGTAAACAGTGTTTCCGGCCTGCTTGTTCTCTCTGTTTTTTCTTCTTTATATGGGCTGACGTTTAGCTGATTTGATCTGAATATATATACTTGTCTCACTAAACTATAGTGAGCTTTCATATTACACCATCTCCAATGGGAGGGCATTGTCTCTGTCTTTTATACACTCCTATTATACGGATTATATATATAGTTTATACGTAGCATATAGTTTATACGTAGTATTTTATACTACGTATTTCCCCATTATATTTGTAGAATTTGTATACCTATTAATTAATTAGTATTTCTCTCCCAAATTGATGTCTAAAATCAACTTTTTTATTAAACAGATCCATTTTAAACATTTATTTAGAATATCAATTTTTAATTATATTCTAAAGTGATTTTTGCAATGTTATAGAGATTTTAATGTAACTTCTAAATATGTAATTTTTTATTATTAATATTGAATTAATAACTAATAGGGAGGATTAACTTTAGCCTTGGTTCACTGTAAAATATTGACTCTCCAAACCAACTTATCTCTATTTTTCTTCTATCTTTCATTTGTCCCATATCACATTTTCTATATATTGAATTAATAAATAGTTTATATCTCTCTCATATGCCACATAGAATAGACCTTACTAATCGGTGGGCGTAGCTTAACTGGTAGCGAGAGAGTGTCACAAGGGTTAGGTCCCGGGTTGGAATTCTGGCAACTGCGATGAGAGGTTACTATGCTAAAAAATGCATAAGTTCTCTGCAAGTACCGAGGATAGAGCCTCACTCTCTATCTGTTAGATTGAGAATATAGTCCAACTTACATCCTCCCAACGTACCGTCCAGTCAGGATTAATTGGGAGGCCCTCAGGGATGGGGTGTCATCCTTTTTTTAGAATTGACGTTAATTATTATCATTAATGTATTTATTAATAGAAATAATATCTAATATGTGATCAAAATAAGGATAAACTAGCTAGACTATGGAAAGACTTGATGAACAATGATGATATGAAATCAAAGCTAATATTTAATTTCATTTTAATGTTATTCACAATTTTCTTAAACATATGACACAATGACATTAGTTTGGCATTATTATTTTACAACTACACCCATGCTGATGTACTTTACTCATATTAACATTGCAATTATTAATCACTCACAGTTTGATAATAATTTTAAGAAGAAAAAGAATAATACTCCGTAATAAATATAGTAATGTGAATAATAATAGTAGTAGTAGTGTACATTGATATTTTGTCTTTAAGACATCTTTAAACATGTCATATGCTATATTTGTTAATACTTTTTTGGTTCGATATATTTACAGTCTAAATATTCCAAAATTTCCTTTTATTCTAATTTTTAAAATATTGTAACATTTTATCATTTCCCAATAATAACGGGATGGATACTTATAGTTATATTAGTTAGAAACATATTCGTAGTATACTATAATATGAGTGCGAAGTGCCAAAACAATTTCAAATGTGGGTTAGTTTTACTAACTTATGTAATTACTTAAGTAGGAATGCATTTTACAACAAACAAAGTTGAAATCATGACAAAATGCATTTAGTAATTAAATGTTGAATCTTAGTCTAAAATATAATTTGACATTAAATAAATTTTAACAACGTTGTATTTTCATATTTCTTTGTTTAGAAACTATTTACTTAATTTCTTCAATTTTGAATTCTTACAAGCTAGCAAACTTGTGCATTATAAGTTGAACTCATTAGACTAGCTAGGATTTTGAAGATGAAGAATGAAAAGTACATAAAAGAAATGACGACTAATATATGATTAAATAAAAATACACGTAATCGTTGTTAATGTGTAGATGTCAATATCATTTCTAGGTTTACATTCAATGTAATTTACAGTGACAATAACAATATTCATAATATTACAATTACTTTACATAATTGACCTCAAAGTAAAGTTGTAGCCAGTCCGACTTCATGAAATAATATGAACCTGACATATGCGTTGAAAATATTTTACTTCCTAATATTTGGTCCAAAATGTTGAATGTCCAACCACCCGACCCGACATGATGGTGAGGAGGTTAATCACAGTGACTCAGTCAACAAAACGGTTTTAGATATGAAATTCTTATTAGGTGCCAAATACGGAGTATATAGTACACTCAGTATGAAAAAAATCTTTAGCACCATAATTTTTATTATTTCTGTTTTTTGTCGTCGTCCTGTGATTTTATTCATTTTCCAATTTGATCATATAATTAATAAATTTGTCCAAATATAGATCTTTTCACCGGAAAACGCAATCAGTGCAAAAATTGACACTAATGAAATGCTTCTATTTCTCATTTTTTGTCTCATTTTTTGTCGAAAAATATACTTTCAATTTGAAAATATTTAATATGAATTAAATTTAGAAGTAAGTAAAATTAAGAGATCAAAAGCGAGGAGATTATCTCAGATAGACAACAATAAATCTTACGAGTACCAAACTAGCTAGCAGTAATTATTACTCCCTATGCATCAATATCTAGGAATCCTCGTCAGATAGCCTTCTGACTATAACAATATTATATTCAATCTACTCACCACTTTAAATTGCCTTTTTCTTACTGTTTATGGTCAATCTGAAGACAGTAGCAAATTATTGGAAGTTTTCTCACTCGGAATATAAAAGTTCTTCAACTTTTAACAGTAAAAGTAGGAGCATGATTTCATGTGAGATGGGTTTAGATACTCCCAGTCCCAAACCTCCCCAAAGATATTGTCATATACTCCGTATTTCGTGCATACTTTTCTATTGAAGAATATCTCAGTTCAGTTTCATTTTGAAATTAATAATGTTTTTAAAATTGAAATTAATAATGTTCAAATGGGAGAACTCTAAAAAATGTTACATCCGTATAGAAGACACGGCTCCAAACCCTAGCGTAGAAGGTTGTCCTCTCGTCCGCCGTGCGGACGATCTCCTGCCGAGCTCCCACCATATCTCCCGTGCTAAAACTCGCTGACCAAGAAGCGGCTCCAAACCCTACCGCAGAGACCTGAGTTTAGTATAGCTTATTACCCATGGTTAATAATTAAAATAAAGACCTTTTAAATATTATTAGTACATTAATTTTTGAAACATTAGCGTATGATTTCGTATGAGTGATAAAATTAAATGAATAACAAAGATATTTTTTAAAGTAAATGGTGAAATTCTTTCGAATTCGGAAAAAAGATGATAAACATTTCAAGGATCAAGGAAACTAGAAGCTCAGTGCCTAAGTTTAGTTTGCTGCATGTCGTCGTTAATTGACATACTATTTGTTTGGATAAGATGTAGACGATGGACTAGAAGAGTCAAAAGTTTAAGTGATAGAAATGCAAGGGATTCGACTATTCGAGGGACCAGCAATTAAGAGTACGTACTAGCTAGTAAGGTAATCAAGTCTAAATGTTAATTAATCTTTTGTTTGGTCTAGGAGAACTTAATTAAAAAGTTAAGCCGTAATATATAAAGAAAGTGTCAATTTTAAAAAGTGCAAAAAATATCTACAGAAATTAAGATGTTGGGTTTTTGTCATAATGCATATTTTGGAATTAGGTAAATTCTTTTGGAATTAAGGCTTATGACATGAAGCGTATTTTACTGCTTATTAGGTAAATTCTTTTGGAATTAAAGCTTGGATGTTGTATTAGGTACTCTTTAAAAGTGGTTTCTAAAACCATGTGACCAACCGGTAAAATACTTTTACCTCTCTTTACTCCATAATAAGTGATTAATTAATTTATGCATAAATTAATTTAGTAGGTATCTGACGTTATTTGGATGTTAATTAAAAACTACTCCCTATTACATGATACATTTGTATTTAGTTTAGATACGTAGTACAAGAAGGATTAACGAATTAGATATGGTGGCATGATATGAGCGGTGAGTGCTTAATTGATCAAGGTCTAGGGTTTGGCTGATTGGCTCCTAGCAAATTCAGAAAGAGAGATTTACCTAAATAGGAGTAAATAAAAAGATAATTGTAAAAACGGAAGTTTAAAGTTTAAATTCTCAAAATAAGACTAACTCTTCCCATTTTTACCTTTTTCCTTTGTCCTCCTAATAGGATTTTTTAAACAATCATTATAAAATATAAAAAAAATCAAAATAAATAAAATTAAAATTCGTAAAAAATAATTAAAAATATTCAGACCTCAACCGCTACCTCAGCCACCTTCCAGCACCGCCACCTCCGATCGCCGAAAAAGATTGCCACGTTAGAGTGAAAATGTCATCATGATGGCAATTTTTAAGAGAAACGTGGATATTTTCAAAGAGTAAAAATGTCATCTTCATGGCATTTTCAGAAAAATGTGGCATTTTTTACACAAGATAGCATTTTTTTCCAATGATCAGAGCTGGTGGTGCTGGGAGGTAGATGACACATTGGCAGTGACCTACAGATTTTTTAAATATTTTTTTAGATATTTTATTTTATTTTTTAGACTTTTTAGTTTTAAAGTTTTTTATTTTTTATTTTTTATTTTTTTATTTTTTCACGTTTTAATCATTAATTTTTAAATATTTTATTATTTTTATATCTTTATTATAAATAAAACTATAATTTTCTTATTAATAAATTAAATCTATTGGAAATTATAGGAAGGGGGTAGAATGGGAAGAAGGGACAAATTTAATCCTATTTTAGGAATAAAGGAATTGTACTCCTATTGTTGAATTTTGGACAATTTTAGTCCTATTAAGAGCTAATACCCGATTTAGAAAGTGTACAGTTTATGTATAAACCTTAATTAACGTTTGATAATGAGTCAATTGTTAACAACTTTAATTTAGGGCTTTAGGCACCACGTTTAATTGTATGTATGAAGCGACACATAAAATAGAAATATTGATTTATAAGCAGAAGCGTTTGAAACTGAAAATATAAGAACTTACTGTAAAGCATTTCAGTAAATTAAAGATTATCATAAAAACTCAAATAATGTTTAACACCCAAATCTGGGTTCTTCACATATAAAATGAGACTTGAAGTTACTGGATAGTTGAATCCACATATGCTTAATCTCCCGGTGTTTAATACATTCCTCTCAAACAAAAGTCTATAGTTGTAGCTTCCAACACTTCAATTACAGAATTACAAATGCTTCACATTTTCAGTGTTGCAATGTGCACGGTACACATGTGATATAAAAGCGATAAACACACAAATATTAGTAAGTAAAATAATTTTTTCCATATTAGAACGGTCTTATATATTTTTCGTAAGTTTTTTTTCACAATGTCAAGATTTTTTTTAGGTGTAAACATTGTGGTTGACATTATTATCAAAATTATACTACTATAAAATGTAGAAAGAGGGAGACAAAAATGTCAATGATTTATTTTTATATCTCTCTCAGGTCACATGTGCACCGTGCGCATTGTTGCATTGGAGATGCTCTAAGTATGGATGAAGTACACCTTCCATTCAGATATACACACACACACACACTCTGACACTACACACATATATATGACATATTAAAGCTATATTTTCAAGATTATGCAGCGTTTTCATTTAGAAAAAACAGCGGATTGAAGCCAATCCGCTATTAACCAAACGTAGCTGAAGTAGTAATTATTACCACGTACACGATAGAGCAATAGAATGACATGTGGAAAGTATTGTAAAAAATGTTGTTTTCACCTACTTAGAAATTAGTACTGCCTTTGTCTAATTTAAAAGTTCCCATTCACTATTCTCTAGTCAACATACGTAAAATCTTCTTAATTTTTTACTTCATATATTCAACTTTTATCAAATATGACTTTTTCTTTTGAGACTATAAAACTTTTAATTTAATTTCTGAATATGTAAATTTTATTTACTAAAAAACTCTAAGTACGGATTAGGATCAATTAATTTTATATGACTTTCATGTTTTTATTTCCTAAATATGAGCAATTATTGTCAAGTTTGAAAAATATTGTCATATCTACAGTCTAGTATTGTTAAATCATAGCATTGATTACTCCTATATTTAGGGAATAAAAATATGAAAGTCATATTTTGGAATACAAACACATTTTTACTCCTATTTAGAGCAATTACTCTTACAGTTTTCGATCGAAAATTGCCTAAAATTGAAAATGTTATTACTTACACGACATGATGTGGAAGTAAAGGTAAGGGACTAATAGTGCCATAACAAAAGTTACAAGACTAAGCCAAAAACATCTTGAAGTATTTTAAATCACTTTGGTGTTATAAAATAGTATGAATATAATTAAATAATTGTCAAATTAACAAAGTTTGACTCAAAAAGGTCAACTCATTTATGAGACAGAGGAGTATCATATACTACTATATATGTTTAATATTTGTAAATAACTGTTATCATCATCCATTTACAAGAAATCATAATTAATTAAATGATTGAAAAAAGTTGATGTATTGAACATATATAATTAAAATTTATTTTAAAGAACATTTTCGATTTTCTCAAAATAACTAAAAAATTTATTATGAAGTAGGAAAAAGTTGTCATAGTTGTAAGTTTGAAAAAATTTATTATGAAGTAGGTAAAAATCTTTTTTGCCTCACACTAAAAATTAACCTAAAATAGCTTAAAAGTGGATAAAATTGAAAAGTTGCATTGAAATGAAGCATATAAGAATCAAACAGGCCCAACATGAAGTCCATATCCAACCACCCAGTAAGTATAATTTCTCACAAAACCCTATATCAGCTCTTCTTTTTACACCTTGATCATGCATGAATAGAAATCCCTACCAATTATTTCATGCAATAGCTTATTCATAATTAACAATATACTCCACACACACACACACTAGAAGATATGAATATTTTACCCTATTATATGAATTATGCAGAAGTTACTATCGGTGTACACACAACAATTGTCGAGTAAAGAAGAGAGTGGAAAGGCTTTCAGAAGATTGCAGGATGGTGATAACAACATATGAAGGGAGGCACAATCACTCCCCCTGCGATGATTCCAACTCTTCGGAAAATGATTGTTTCACTTCTTTCTAGCTGGGGTTACCTTTGATTCTTTAAATTATTCTATATATATATATATATATATATATATATATATATATATATATATATATATATATATATATATATAATTGAATTGCCATGCCTCAATTCAAGCTCCCATCCGTCTGTAATGATTGAATTGAACTTGAATAGTTCTTTTATTATAGTGTTTTACTGCATATATGTATTAGACATATATGCAATATAATGGTGTGTATCTTTTGTACGTATCCCCATGTAAGATATCAAGAGTTTCATCTCGATTTTAATTAAGTTTTTTCGCTCAGGTGTTATATAAATGATAGTTTCTACTTTGTTTCTCTATAATATAATTAAAATGCATTATCAATTTGTACCTCCGATGTAGCACCTTCTTCCCCTATTTATCTTCCAAAATGACTTTACACAGGTAAAAAACAGTCGAAACTATGCAGTTAGAATTGTAGATGAGAGAAAACAATACGAATCATGAATTATTTGTCATTAAAAGAAATTGAAGAGTATTTTTGAATGGATCAAAACAGATGAAGATAATTCTGGGACTGAGGGAGTAATATATTTGTACTAAGGGTTTCTCTTGATTCCCATTTCACAGATTTGTATGTGTGACGTGCACTTTGTCGTGGTGTGCATTCAAAATAATTAATTAATACAACAATTATACGTAGTATAATGAAGTAAGGTTCGTATCAACAAGGAAATGAATACTTCTCTTTTAATTAAATAGTAACAAGGGGGATTTTTAGATTGTTTTTGGAACTTTAAGAATATTTAAACACTTTAAGAATATTGGAACGACTTATGTGTTTTAATTAACAGAGATAAAGACTTGGTTTTACTTTTATCCACTTAATGAAATATTCATTGATCCCGGGTGTTGGGTATTGGCCCATCTGTCCTTAAGCCCAATTAGCCTCAAAGGTTTAATCGGCCCATTTTTCTATTTCCCCTTCGCCGTCCGCTTACTTCCCCTTTCCTACCTTTGAGCCGCAGAGCAATCTTTCCGATAAGGCAAGTTTCCTTCTATGCGTTCTTTTAGCCTGGCCTATATATATATAGGGGTTGGTTTCTGTGAGAACACCCTCTTAGGAGAGGAAAAAAGAATGATATCCAACCTTTAATTAACTTGATCTGATGGCTTAGCATTTTTCGAAATTATTACTAGCTTCGGATCATTAGGCTCTCATATATGGCAACTCTCCAAGTGAAAATTAAATAAGGGGCATCATAGTAAATTTCATTCAAGCATTAATACGTATGTAGCACTATAATAGGAATTCATCCTAAAAAGTAGGCAATAATTAATAGGGAGTAACGTACCTCCCTCTTATATATTCCATTATTTTAATTTCCTTTCCAAAATAAATTTAGTATTATCTCACATATAATTCGGATGAGTAATTTGATATAAAAAATTATTCGAATTGGGCATTTTTCACGTCTTATCGTCTTTTCAGAGGCAATATTTCATCTACTTAATTTTGTGTATTTGCACTTAAATATTGAATACTTGCACTTTTATTTGAAACATATTGCAACATCAATTTAGTTACATATTTAGATATATTTGCAACCTACAGGGAAATACAAGTTTATTAGTTTAATTTGGAGTGTTGTAAACTACACTTTAATGTTATTAGTTTGCACTTTTAAAACATTAATATACACTTCAAGCATTTAGTTCGACACATCCATACATTTCTGCCAAAAAACTAATATAAATATACAAGGGTTAAACTATCAACTACGTGGATTTAGAATAAGACAAATATGCACTATTACATCATACTTTCAAAACTTAGATACAAATAATGTATACAAAAGTGCAACATTATATCACATTTTCAAAAGTTTTATATACACCCTTCTTATAGAATGAAATGGACTTATATCATGTGCATTTGATATTATACAAAAGTGCACTATTATAACAAACTTTCTACCATTTTACGTTGACATTTTTACAAAACAAAATGCACTTTTTCTTCCAAATGGATCACCGTTGCTTTATTGGCACTGCATCATATCTGCAAAAAAAAGTGAAATAGTAAAAACTAATGAAAGTGCATGATCAAAGCATGATAAGTGCATCAAAAACTTAATATAAAACCATCTTTATTACTATATGAAAATCAAATCGATAGCTATCATGAAAGTGTGCCATACCAAACACGTAAATGCATCACATAACAATGTAGGTGCACTAATTGTTAGCGCAAATCTAGAAATTTAATAATTAGTTTAGTGCAATTTCAACAAGTCTAATTTGTATAGTATGTCAATCAAAAAAATAATAATAATATTCACACGTAAATTCAACCACGAACATAACACTTGGAGACTAAAAACAATGAGCAAAATCAAATAAACGATACTTACTGCACTCCATTGAAGAAAGATAGGCTGCAGAAGAAAACCCACAACCGATGGAAAAAATAGCAGAACGGCGCAAGTGAAATAATCTGATCAATACGTTAATTTCGATCAATACCTACGCGGAGGGAGAGAAGAACGGCGGAGGAGGAAGATCGATGATAGGTTTGGAAAGAATCAGGGAGAGACGGTTATGGAAGGAATCATGCAGCGTGATTTTAGGCACTCTAATTACGTACAAAATGAATTGACTTCATTACCCTCTACTTGGGTTTAGACGCACGGTTATTTAGAAGATCATCCAACGGTGGAAATCTATTCTTTTTTACCCTCTACTTGAGTTAATAGTATTATGAGTTAATACTATTAACTCATAATATTATGTATATGTATATGTATATATACATATACATATACATATATATATATGTATGTATGTATGTATATGCTTCTTCTTGACCGATTGGAATGTAGCGCTGAAAACCTTCTGGGTTTTATGAGTATGGCTTTTTGGTCAAAAGCATTAATTATGATTACGTTTAACGTTTTAGCCATTGCTCGGTTATGCATCAGGAAGGTTATTCATGTGAATCCTGGTTGATACCACTCTTAAAATAGAAAAGCCGTTACAGAGCGTAATGTACAGCATTTGAACAACGGGTAATTTTGAACAACCAAGGAATAAGTAAAGTTAGCTTGGTATTAGCCGTTTATCTGTCATCATGTGGATTTTAAGATAAAATCGTATACATTGTTTATTTTAATCTAAATCTGATCAAACTCTAATTAAACATAAGAGGGCTCAAGTAAATGTTCGTTTATTTATTTGTTTTGTGTGCCAATACTATTAACTCATAATATTATTATATAATTGTTGTACATAATTTAGTATTACTTGGTCAAACATAGTTACCGGCGATATGTATATTTGTAGTATTAATAGTGATTAGTAGTTATCTCCTATTATTGTGGTTAGGAGGTTATTGTAGCATATGTATAAATATCACACCTTGTACTCATTTCATGAATAAGATTTATCTTTCTCATCTCATACTTTACATGGTATCAAGAGCCAGTCTCTCACGAGCATATTAAAAAAATTTTCAATGGCCATCACACCCACCACCCCTATCGTCTCTATCACTGCTACAACCAATTTTCCGGTGAAACTCGCGTCCGGAAATTTTCTGGTATGGAGATCTCAAGTCCATGCCGCTCTTATCGGTCTTGGTCTTGAAGGATATGTTGATGGCTCTTTATCACCACCAGATCAGTATGTCAAAAATGACGAATCTCAGATCAACCCCTGCTTTACTATTTGGTTTCGCCAAGATAAAACAATCTTGAGCGCTCTCATTGACAGTTGTTCTGATACAACCCAGTCTGTCATCTCTGTGGTGGAAACTTCTCGTCAAGCATGGGAGAAATTAGCTCTCACCTTCGCTAGCACATCTCACGGTCGCATCATCTCTTTAAAATCAACTCTTGGTCGTACTAAGAAAGGATCTCGGTCTATTACCGACTATTTGACAGAAATGGCATCCATTGCCGAATCACTTGCATTAGCTCAAAATCTGGTCTCGGAGGAGGACCTTGTTGTCAACATTCTCAACGGGCTCGGTCCCGAGTACACAGATATTACCTCTGTTGTTCGTGTGAGGCCCACCGAACTGCCCTTGTCGGTGCTTCAAAACATTTTGCTTGAACGTGAGCAACGCCTTGCTGAGTCTACTTCTTCCGCCGATCTAATCCCTACTGCCCATGTCACGCAGGCTGCACCTATTCCAGCCGCCACTTATGCTTCTTTTCCAGTGGCAAACTATGTTCCAGAAGCCCATGCAATGTTGACTGGATCTACTGACCATTGCCAGAATTTTGCTGACCGCAGGAATGCATATTCCAGACGTGGCCGAAGTCATGCGTCTGTACCTTTGCATGGCTCACGCTCGCATGGCATGTCTCCCATGTGCAAGTTTTGTGACATTCTCGGTCATACTATTCAGAAGTTCCGAAAATTACAAAGGTTTCTTCGTGATAATAAAATCACACTCTCGGCGGGTCCCACTGTGAATCATGTGGCCATGGCATCTGGATCAAGTCAAGCCTCTAATCCTTGGATGTTTGATAGTGGTGCTTCTCATCACGTCACCAATGATGCTAGTTTTCTTCCCTCCTACACTGATTATGGAAGTCCGGATGAGGTCCGCCTAGGTGATGGTAAAGCTCTTCCTATTACACATATTGGTTCAACTACATTACCCACTACCACCCGACCCCTCACATTATCTAATGTTCTATGTGTACCTCAAATTCATCAAAATCTTATATCCGTTGCTAAACTCTGCAAATCTAATCACGTTTCCATTGAATTTTTTGACACTCATTTTCTTGTCAAGGATCGGCTCACCCGCGTCTCTCATGCGCGGGGAGAATCGTAATGATATCTATTATGCACCAGCTTTGTCAGTTTCCCAGATAAATCATCTTCACAAATCCGATGCTTCTCGGTGGCATCACACTCTTGGACATCCCTCATCTCGTGTTTTACATTATATTGCTAGTCACAATAAAAATATTTCCATTAATTCTTCATCACATAAGTTCCATTGTACTTCTTGCTC